GCGGGCCTAAGCCAGCAGGTGGACATCCCCCGAGGGGTCCCAGACTGTGAGAGGGCACAGGACGGGTTGAGGGATCCCCCCCCCACCGAGTGCACAAATTTTTGTGCACCGGGCCTCTAGTAAAAATATATTTAAGAAAGATATATCATAACAAATTTTCAAAAAATGAGGCATAACTAAAAAATTTAATAATTTCTGAGAGCAAACAAATAATTCTGGCACCAACAAATTAAGATCAGACTGACATTTTCATCTTCTCATGAGCAACACTGGAGGTTAGAAGATGGTGAATTCTTGGAAGATTTGGTTTCTATACCCAGCAAAACTATCAACCATAACAGCAACATGATAATATACACCTATGCAAACAATAAAAAATAAAACTACCACCCACTAAAAAATAAAATTACCACCCACATATCTTACTTTCTTTAGAGGAGAAAAGCAAATAATAGAAGATGTTGGGTTAAAAATCATTGCAACTTACTTAAGAGTTCAATGAATGTAACCCAGGAAAGAAGCTGCACAAATGGACTAGAATAGAATCTATTCAAATTAAACAGAAAGTGATTAGGATCCAAGGGAAACATCTTCAAGCATAGAAATGAAATGGAAGCTTCTCATACAAAGAATGAGAATACGTGGTGAAGAAAGTACAACATGGAAGGACTAGGTGACGAAAGCATATGTACCTCTTCCTCAAAATAAATCAGAAAGTCCTTTGTGAAAGTGTGGAGGGGTTAAAAACATTGTAAGAAGCACATGGTCCAAAAAATAAAGCACAGTAAAATATGATAATTTTTTTGTCATTGTAGAGGAAGTAAAAAAGAATCAATTTGATGTTAATATTACAAATCTGACAACCTGTAAGTAAAGGTGCAGCTAAGAGAAGGTAGGAGCAGATTTGGTTTCTGAAGTGGTAAAGGATAAACTAGAGTCACTACTTTTCTTATTTTGCCAAATAAGGAGCCAACATATATTTTTGAAATTTGATGTGAAAAAAATTGAGTTTACATTTATTTAGAACTAATCAATATGAAAACTAAATATTGTAATAACTATTTGTAGAAGAGACATTTGTGGATGATGTGGACTATCTTAAGTCAATTCAAAAAAAGAATTAGTAGTTGAACTAATTATGCAACATGCAAACCTAAAATTAGGTGAGGTTGAAAGTGGTTATCCCTGAAGAATAGAACTGAGGGGAAAAAGGGAGACACTAAACTGTTGCATTTTATTATGCAGTCCTTCTATAATATTTGATTACAATTAGATGCCTCTATCCCTTAGACACCTAAAAATCAAATAACCAAATGAAGAAAATGCAAATTATTCAGAAACACACGTTATTTAGCACAAAACATGTCATCGGTGTTTTGCTTTAAAAAATCAAATAACCAAATGAAGAAAATGCAAATTATTCAAAAACACAAAACATGTCATCGGTGTTTTGCTTTAAGTGCCTCTTAGGCTCATGCATAAAAAATACACAGAGATTTTCTCACTTGGTGAATGGAAGAACGCTAGTGTAGGGGGGAAACAGCTGAGGTGAGAGATCAGTTGAGGAATAACAACAATGTAAGCAATTAGGTTTGAAAATTCATTCAGTCACCCATGTCTTGGAGACCCTAGACAACCTGTTAGGTGTTTTTCCCGCTGCCAAGCTAATTATAGCGAACAAGACACAATCTGTGCCCTCAAAGAATCTGGAGTTGAAATGACTCAAGTTGGGGAACAAAGGGAAAACATGGGCAAAAGATGATAAAACAGTTTTCACATTTCTTCAACGGACGAATGGAACTAGTTCATTTATTTTACATACTTCCCCTCAAAAAGTCGTTTTTCTGTCCCAAACAAAAACAGGGACATTGGGTCCTTGTAAAAGCAACTAGTTAGAATTCGAAAGTAGCTCCCACCTGTTCACTTTCTTCCACTCCACAAGGAAATTACATCTCAGTCATTGACTAAACCAGTGGTTCTCAACCTTCTGGCCCTTTAAATACAGTTCCTCATGTTGTGACCCAACCATAAAATTATTTTCGTTGCTACTTCATAACTGTAATGTTGCTACTGTTATGAATCGTAATGTAAATATCTGACATGCAGGATGGTCTTAGGCGACCCCTGTGAAAGGGTCGTTCGACCGCCAAACGGGTCGCGACCCACAGGTTGAGAACCGCTGGAATCACTAAACCTTTGCCAACCAGAAACAAACCAAAGCAATTGTTCCCATCTGTGATGAGCAGCAGAGCCATTTCTACCTTCTCCAACCTACGCTTTAGTCTTCCTCTGAAGCAGTGATTCCTTTCAGAGGACTCGGGTAAACGTGTGCAGGGATGGGGACCAAGCAGAGTAAGCAGCCCGCAGCCTGGCGGGTCCGCTCAGCCTCTCCCTGCGGTAGGCGGAACCCCTCGCTGCACCTGCCAGTAGCCACCCACGACGACCAATACCAGTGGGAAACCCCAATACCTGCCTCAGAGTCTGGGGGCGCAGGCGGACACAGAGACAAGGGGAAGGAGCTTCTACACAGGGCCCCAGGGCTGTCTCTCTGGCGGGGGTCGCCGCTACTGCTTAGTGCACCGGGGCCTGCTTGTCAGGTGCGGCTGCAAAAGGGGCCGCCCCGGGAGCGCCCGCAG